GAGAGGATGTCAGCAACACTTGAGAGATTTGGATCTGAGTCAAAACAGAATCAAGTAATATGTCAATTTGTACATGTAATGTCTGTGTGTACATGTACGTGCATGTACACAACGTACATGTACATTACATGTAGGCATGTGTTGGCTTGTGGGACTTTGTGTGATGTTGTCATATTACTTTTTTCATTTGCTCATCTATTGTACTTGCTGTTAAACATCAGTTATATGATCTCTCCCTCTCTCTCAGTGTTAAGAAGCTCAATGTGACATCACTGGGTCAGATTATGCAGCAGTTCTTTAGTTCAGCAATATCACTGCAAGTCATTAACCTCAGTGACTGTAAACTCACTCCTGATCTCGCTATGTATGCCATTAGCTATTGGATTTTATAATTTCATGCAACCTCTTTTCTTCCCTTTAGTGCTATTATGGAAGGACTGTCAGTTAATCCTAACATTAGTGACACTACACTTAACCTTAGCTCTAACGAGGTACAGAGAGAGGGGGAGAGGGAGAGGGAGGGGGAGAGGGAGGGGGAGAGGGAGGGGGAGAGAGAGGGGGGAAGTTGGGTTCACATTGTAAATTAATTTCATTTAATTACCGTAATGTAATATTGTATTGATTGTTATTGATTGTTATTGCTACTAGTTGGGTCACGGTCTTGATGTACGGTCCATGTCTGATTCCTTGTCACGACTAAAGAAAGTCAATGCACTCAACATATCTAATACCAGTAAGTACTCATCATTGCCTTTTATACTAATACAATAGTTAAGGCTAAAGAAGTGAAAGTGTAATTATCACTGATAATGATACCATTACCATCACATCATTATAATTATAATTAGATGTACTTTTATAATTTAATATCCTTTCTTGTCTCTTTTTCTCTTCCTGTCCTTCTTCTTCCAGACATTGATCAAGATTTGTCACGTCTAATTGAAGCCTTGGGCCTCAATAGAAGCATCAAGCACCTCAGTATTGGACAAAACTTTGAAGGAAGAGAAAGGTGAGAGAGCTAGACTATTATCAATAGTTCCTCAGTAATTTTATATTATTAATTCAATAATTACTATTTACAATCTATTAATTTATTTATTTAATTATTTATTTATTTATTTATTGTTAGGATTGAAGGTGTCAAGCAGTTGTGTCGTATGATCAAAGCTGATGATTGCTGCTTGGAATCTCTTGATATCTCAGACTCGAAACTAAAAGAGGTGACGTCAGCAATATTGAACTCCCTCATCTATAACGACTCCATTGTGAAGCTGGACATTAGGTAGGTCTGATACTGTTGCAATGGTAAGCTCATTATTAGCTTTGTAGTGGGAATGGAATGGGAACTCATGGATTGAGGGCAATGGTCAAGTTATTGTTGTCTGGAACTCAATTAAAGTATGTTACTCATACCATGCAGACACAAGTATTATTGCTATAATAGTATAGTGATAATATATTGTTTGTAAAAGCTAGCTTTTTTCAGGATTTTAACAAGCATATGTGCATATATATGCTATGTATCAAGTTTTAGGTGATTCTAATCAAAATTGGATTTTTTCGAATTTTTTCGAGTTTCTCAAAAATTGGGCCAAAATTCCTGTACTATAGTACAGTGTCTTTGGCCAAATTTGGTCAAAAATGACTAGGAAAGAATTCTCAATTTTTATAATTTTTTCTAATGCATATACATGTTTTTATGTTTTGTAGAAAGTTTGAGCGGATTACGATTAAAATTGTATTTTTTACTAATTTTTAAAGTTGTTCAAAATTGGGCCAAAGTTCCTGTATTGTAGTACAGTGTCTTTGGACAAATTTTGTCGAATTTGAATGGGAGAGGAACTGATTCTGATCAAAATTAGATTTTTATGACTTTTCAAAATTGCTCCAAAATCTGGCCTAAGTTGACAGGGTATTTTATCAAAAATGACTTCTCACTTTTCATTAGATTTTTGATGCAATATTTGTGTACATATACCTGCTCTTGTAATTTCTATTTAATGCTTATGAGGCATTACTTTATACTTTCATTATCATTTCTTATTAATAGAGAGTTGCATTGTGGTAATAATGATATAACAGCTCCTGGTTTAACTTACATTGCTGATGCAATTGAACAGTAAGCACATACATGTACATGTAATATACATGTATCTGTATAATAATTAACGTGTTCAAATGCAAATTCTTTTTCTATTCCATTACACTTTGTACTTTTTGCTTTTTTTCTCCTTTTTTCTCTTCTCTCTCTCTCAGTAATTATACTATATTATCTATCTCTTGTCCATTGTCTGACATTGTCAAAGTGGCTGCTAGAGATGGTGACATTATAGAGGAAGCACTAATGAGGATACAGAGGTATCTGTGCAGGAATCACTCCGATGAGAAGTTGGAAATGAAACTTGCTAAAATTCGTCAAAAAACGCTACTAACCACTTCACAGCAAAGTGTAAGTATTTACTGTTAGTGTTAGTATATGTGTGTATGTGTTGTTGAATAAGGGAGGTTGTCAATTTTTTTCCTCTTATTTATTTCTACATCTATGTATCATTTTGTTTTGTTATTATTATTATTATTGTTGTTGTTATTATTGTTATTATTATTATTATTATTATTATTGTTGTTGTTGTTGTTGTTGTTGTTGTTGTTATTGTTAGGCATTGATAAGTCGTGAGGTTGTTCAAGTTGAGGAGATGCTTGGTAATCTCTCTCGAGCTGAGAAGAAGCCCACTAACTATGATGTTGAGGTTGATAGAGCAAAGGCAGTCAAAGAAGAGGCTAACAAAGTCCTCCAGCTGGTCGACTCTCTTTACTCTCCACAGAAAGAGGCACAACAGTTTGAAATCATTGTTAAAAGAATGAGCGAAGTCCTGGAGAGAGAAGTGGAAGGATTGTACAGGGAGTTTGTACAAGAGAACATAGAAACCATGGTTACACAGAGTGTCAAGTCATGCCCTCTACTACTCACTGAATCAGTAAGACCTGTACTGACATATTCATATACTGTATGGCTTTGTAGAGTACATGCGTAATTGTACATGTTATTTATTATTATTTTTAATTTTTATTATTTTTATTATTGGTATAATGTTATTATCATTATTTATTATCATTATTGTTTTTATTACTGTATTTAGGATCGTGAGACATTGCGTCAGATTGGTAGGCGAGAGCTTCAAAGTGAGCTCCAAGAGACAAAGAAAGCTGTAGCTAGGAGAACAGCACCTGAGATCATCAACAGTATAAGGTATGTATTGTATATAATGCCCATATCATTAGCAGTATCTTTATTCAAACTATTAGTGGTATGAATTTAGAAACAGCTGCTGTTATATCGGAACTGATTGTTGATAGGACACTGGACGAACTGGAGGGATGCACTGGACG